AAATCCTCCAAACAGTTCAGAAATTGATACCGTTTTTAATAATTAAATATCAATTTAATCCGAACCAAGCCTAGATAATTGCCGGTATTCCATCACCCTTATAACACTGTTGAAATATGATTAAATATTATTAAATCATATACGAAAGATTTGGTAAGTTTCAGTGAGCAAACAACTTAATAAAACAGTGCTTTATATGTAGTCTTTTCTTTATCTTCATGTTGCTTCATTCTTTAATAAACTAATGTGATAATGCTTCCTAATATTTTCATAGGTCCATCACAATTAATTACATCTTTAGTGCAATTTAAACGGATTAAAAATACTCCAGACAACCCAAACAACCCCTAAAAAGACCAAAACTGTGCGTTTCGGGCGAGAGCAAGATCTCATAAGTTGAGAGCCTGCTCCATTAACTTGGGAGCCTGATCTAAGGAGTTGGGAGAAGGCTCCATACTCCTTGGAGCCGGCTCCATCAATGAGGGAGCTAGCTCCCTCCTTTTGGGAGCCTGCTCTCTCACTCCCTAAAACTGTTATGTGTTTCTGCTTCGTCTTCCTCGCCTCTGGCTATACTCAGGGCCTCTGTAATGTTTTACATACTTGTTCTAGTGTTCATTCAATGTCCCAGATTAATTATAAGACATCGATATGCATCAACGATCTCAATTAAACAAAGCGTAAACCCAAAGACAGCAAAAACCAGTTAACAGAACTTTAAGAATTTGCAAACCAGTTTAATTCAACGAATTTAAATATAGTTTAAACATGTATAAAAGATTTGTTTTAGCATTAATTAAACCCCTGGAATCTACCTAGGCATGCACAAAATACAGGTTTAGGGGAAAGAGTTAGAACAAAGACTTGCGTTTAGGTTTCCCTTCAAAACCTTAAACCGTCGTCTTTAATAATTTCGGCGACCTTACTGCTTTCACCGACCACTGTTGCTCCTAGTTCAACCCACGAGCAAGCCAATTTCCCCTCCTTGGTTCAGTTTTAGTCTAAGCCAAACCCTAATCTTCCTCTCTCTATTTCTCTCTGTTTCTCTCTGTCTCTCTATATGCGTGAATAGAGTTTACAAACCCTTGGCAGACGTATAAAGGTATATATATAGGCTTATACAAATACCAACCCTAATTCTAATTATATTGAGAGAAGGAAAGGAAAACTAACCTACTTACATAACCAAGTCGGCTACATCCATGAAGAAAATAAAACCCTAAAACTATTAAAACATTGAATTCACTAATCCACATAAGTATATAACAAAGAAAATAAATAAGTAAAACAAACAATTAAACAAAAATATTTAAAGAAAATAAAGAATACAATTAATTCAATTCAAAAGAACAACAAGTACAATTAAATAAACACCTGAATAAAACAATTCATTTAAATAACATAATTCACAATTAATTCAAATAAACAAGCAAATAAACAATTTAAAAAAATGCAATTAAATAATACTTAAAATGCTGAGTCTATCCTTTTAAAATTAGGGGTATTACATTAAAGCACTGTTTCTACAGTACCAAACAGTGCCTCAACGGCTATAATTTTAAAAAAAAGTTTAAAAATTCGAATTTTTTAACTTTATTAAAAAAAAAATTAAATTAAAATACTTATTTTCTTATTCCAATCTTAAAAAACCATTACATAATAAAAATACTAATACATGAAATGTCATAACATCTTAATATAAAACAAAATGCAACATAAATTAAACATCTTCATTAGCATAGCGGTTCCACAAATTTTTCATCAAATCATTCATCAATCACGTATTTGTCTCTCTATTACAAATTTGAAGTTGGCGAGAGGATATGTGTGCCGCTAAAACCGATGGGCATCAACTTAACGTGGGAATCGAGATTGTAACCTCCGGTGGCGAAGTCCATCTTCCAACATTTGCGTGACGCTCATCTTCAATGATCATATTGTGAAGGATGATGCACGTTTTCATTATGAGGCGTAAGTCATCTTTCTTCCAGAAACGCACTGGTCCTTGCGTTATTGCCCACTTGATTTGCAATACCCCAAAAGCATGTTCCACATCTTTCCTTGCTGCCTCTTGTCACTAAGCAAATAATTTTTCTTTTGTAGTGGTTGGATGCGGGATGGTCTGCATCAAAGTTGTCCACTTAGGGTATATACTATCAGACAGGTAATACCCCAATCTATAGTGATGTCCATTCATTACATAATTAACCAGAGATAATTGGCCATTTATGATACCGTTGAATACCGAGGAATGATCCAACACATTTATATCATTGTGTGAACCTGGCATTCCGAAGAATGCATGCCAGATCCACAAATCTTGTGGGCAACTGCTTCCAATATGAGAGTTTTCTTGCCAGATCGTCCCCTATGTGTGCCTTGCCACTCCACGGGCAATTATTCCACTCCCAGTGCATACAGTCGATAGAACCAAGCATACCCAGAAATCTTCTCTGCTCCACTTCTTCAAGCAACCTTGCTATGTCGGCTTTGTTGGGTGGGCGCATATACTCCTCTGCATACACAGTAACAATAACATTACAAAATGCCTTCAAGCATTTAATGGCAGTGCTCTCGCTGATTTTAATATACTCATCATAGTGATCGGCTGCACAACCATATGCAAGTATACGAACAACAGTTGTCATCTTCTGTATAGAAGACAACCCCAGAAGACCAGTCGCATCCTTTTTTTGGACAAAGTAGCCATCATAAACTTTAACATCATTAAGGATACGAAGAAAAAGTTCTCGTCGCATCTTGAATCGCCTATGAAAGTACTCCGATGGATATGTGCAATTGTCGTTGAAGTAGTCTTTCATTAGCTAATAGTGGCTTACCTCTCGGTGACGATGAATGTACTACTTCTTTTTACGGACTGGAAATACTTGCTCAACTGGCCTTACTGAATTCACAATCTCATAGAATTCGTTTTGATCTTGTTGAATCAACACCCCAAAAGGATCATCTTCCGAAGAGGATGACGAGGAAGATAAAGAATTACAGTAAGCTAAAGGAAAAGCTTGTGATGATGAAGCCATTCGAATTTTGAAATTGAAAAAGATGGATGATGATATTTTGCTACAATGGAGAGAGATGAATATAGTAATGATTTTCAGATGAGCAAATGAGTTTCATTATATAAGATGAAAAATATAGCCGTGTTTAGGAAAAAAATAAAAAATAAATATTATTTTAATTTTTTATTATTATTTTGTTTGGAGAGCGATAATTCGGAGAGTCTGAGAGTGCATGTTTCTGGAGAGCGAAAACTGCTATCATGGCTCTTGAAATTGTTGATGTGACTCTTGAAAAATCTAATTTGGCGTTTTTAGAGAGCCAGAATCTGGAGAGGGGCGGTGCAGATGGCCTATAAGTTTTCTCTGCTCACTCATTTTCTCACACTTCTTTTTATTTTATGTACTCTTCAGAGACTAGTGTTTTTTATTTGGGGTTAAATCGCATCTGAATTGGGGCAAAACTGTGCTACACACTCTCTCTTCACACACAGGTACATGCAGATTCTGAATACTCTGTAATAGAAAGTAAATTTTTATTGGTTCCGCTTTATAAGTAACACGATTTACTATTGTTTGATTCATGGTTTAGGTTTTCTTTTTCCTTCATAAAATTTGAGTAATTGAATACGTATTAGGTTTCTTTTATTCTTCATAAATTTTGAGTATGGAAGACACACACACACACACACACACACATATATATATATGATCGGGACAATTTATTGGCAATATGTAGATACGATAGAGTTCATATAGAAGGAAAAACTGTAAGATTAAGCAAATTCGTTAGTATTCTTACCATTTAAATTTTGATTTGGAACGTAGAAAATCTGACACTTGAACATAATAGTCCGAAATAATGCTAAAATTTATTGTTTGCTTGATAGTATGATTCCAAAATGGATTAAAAGGACTGAAGGAAGGACGAAAGTTATATTCTAGGGGAGGGAAACGTGTTCTTTCCCTCCTTTTTGATTGGGTGGAAGGAATGAAAAGGTTGACACCTTCTATTGTTTTATAGGAGCTAGGAGGAAAGGAAGAAGAGGTTTTGGATCTTATTTCACCAATATACCTCTCTTACCAAATAAGTTGGAGTTAATAAATGTGGGTAAAAGCATCTTTTCTAATTCATCCAACAACAATATTCTTTGTTCATTCTCCTCTTTTGTTCAATTATGGATGAAAGTAAAATGGTGGACCTGGAGGGATGCCTATGAAGTTTAAATTGGAATGCCTTATTTTCTAAACACGTTTCTCACTCCAAACCACCTATGGGCTATGAGAAAAGCCCAAATGACGAATTTTATATGACAATCTTACTCCTTTGGTGAACTATTGAAACCTTAAGGTTCCATTTGGATCGAAGCATTTCAATGAATGGATTTAGGTTCAAATAGCTTGATGAATTTAAGAGGATTTGAAACTTATTTGAAATCCATGCCGGCAAGGATTCTAGTTGCCAATGATTGTCATAAAAAAATTCTCTTATACCCCTAATCTAACATATGAACTTCGGTATCCAATTTCAAGAGCCAACCTTTCGCGTAAACTCAAATCCCTTGATGTGAAATCTATTCATTTATCCAAAGGAAACCTAAAGTTGCACTCACTTGTCTCAGACTATTGCTTATTTATAGGGTTAAAATTGTGTAGTCTGAATACCAAACCTTATCTTTCTACAAATATATCTTGTGTTAATAAAATAACCAATGGTATTATGGAAGTGTGCCAATCTCTTAGAAATGCAATGTGGTTTATTTAAAGGGAATGCAAAAGTGAATCAAGATAAAGTTCTCCCCTGCTATCTGGCATGGCAGATCTCATGTAACTAATTTAGGACCTCTTACTTCACAGTTCTGTTACGGCTAAAACTTGATTGAGGAGTCATCCTGCCTTTGAACAGCATAGATCATATTGAGATGACCAAGTAATATAAAAGTAAACATGATATATAAGTAAAATTCATTAAAAGTGCTCAAAAGGGGAGCGCCCCCGAGGACCAAAGCATACAAAGAAGAATAGCTATACTTTCAACCTATCTACAAAATCCAAAAATATCCCCCAGATGTACAATTTTGCCCCTTAATTCAAAAGAATAAAGAACTCAAAATTTATTACCGCCCTTCACATAATGAATATAACATTCTAAAAAATCTTATACATGGAGGTTGATATCCTTTCCCCTGCCCCCAATAAGAGTGGGTGATATCCCTTGTCAAATTAATAAAGCATATCTTTACTTTGCCAAGCAAAGATTCCTGATCCATAAGTAGAATGCATCATGTCAGCCAATAGGGGGAACTGCAAAAATGCAAATAATGTTACTGGAACACAAGCGGTTAGCGCCACAGGGATGACAATCCATGCCAGTTGATTGCCAAGTAGAACGAAAAAGGTTGCACTAAAAGTGATAAGCATTGATGCTATAGAGAAGAAGAGGGTTGTAAGACCAATAATCAACCTCTTTGGTAAGGACTCAAGGAAATCTTCATCGGCATATCGTGAAGTGAGGATAGATAAAAACATCAATATAGAAGTAACAGAGGAAAATAGTGCAGATGCATCAGATATGGCAAAAATTATGAATGACTTGGCTTGAAGAAAATTGGGGGTTCCTTCATTACTGTTTCCTCCCGGTACAGTAAAAATTGCAGCAAACATCACTGTGGTAATAAACATAGCGACAAGCATGCATGCTGAGGCAGTGTCCTTCATCCACTTCTCTCCTTCTTTGACCAATTCCTTATGCTCCTCAGTAAATAACATTCGTGGTGTTCGACCTTCTGTGTTTCTCATCTCTCTGTATAATGGTTGGACATTTTTCTCCACTTCCTTTGAATTTTGAGAAGTATAAAACATTACAAAAACAAAAAAAAAAAAAAGCATTTTAAATGAGAACAAATATTAAAAACGTGCTATAAAACACAAACTAAAAACTAACAATTACCTTGAACCATAATAATTCTCGTTGCATCTGAAGTGCGGCACCAGACACAATATTAAGTCGATTTGAAGGAGCCAACTTTCCAGCCAAGTGTAGCATGTTAGTATTGTTTGCATCTTTATAAGAAGTAATTAAATCTTTATGTGCTCCTATGCCATAAATAAGTTTGAATATCTTTTCTTGGCGATGCATAACTGCAATATGAAAGATGCTTCGGCTTTCCTCATCTACTTTCCAAATTAGATCAGGATAGGAGCGAATAAGCTCAACGATAAACTCAAAGTTACCGAACTCTACAGCAACAAACAATGGTCGCGAAGGGCTTCTAAGTAAATCCCCGATATTTGAGTCATCCAATAGTAGAACTTGTTCCCAAATACACTTGAGCAACGTTAGGGCTTGCATGTGTAGTAATTTTTCCTCTTGAACAACATTCATTCCTAGCATCGGAAGAAAATCTAAGTCAATGAACAAGTGAAGATACATATAAGAAATAACGCTAAACTAGACTGATCATTTTTCCCTTTTTTTTTTTTGGTTGGTGGCTAGGTGCCAAAGTAGTCTAGTTAAGTAGAGAGACTGCAATTCCTAGCACAACTTTTAAATTTATATTTAACACTAGTGGATTCAAACTCCAAAACTTCATATGATTATTGTTTGGGGGGAGAAATCATATTTTGTTGGGAACACTAAATTTAATAAATAGGACAATACATTAACAATTTATATTTTTTTGGAATTTGATTTATTTATTTGTTTTGTGGAAAAAAGTATGGCTTTATTTACTCCAAAAAAATCATATCAGAAATTTTTTCTTTGTTAAGTAATTTTGTGGTTATGTTTATAATGGCTTGTGAAATATTTGATCAAGAATGTACTTATCAAAAAAAAGATATTTGATCAAGATTGCAAATTCTAACTACATGCCTAAGAAATAGATAAGAGTACAGACCTTTGGAGCTTTTGTGATTCTGGGTGTTGCCAGATGCATCAGGTGTTTGCATGTGGATCCCTTCAAGACAAATAAAGTTAAAGTAAATTTTTTTGAATACAAACCAAGGATATGGATCACGCAATGTTACTCAAATTTATAGAAGTCCTCATTCTTTTACCTATTCATATACCTATTGTCCAGGTTGTTCAGTAAAGCCTACTCTCTTGAACTATCTTCATACCAATAGTATAATAAACCGTATAGGAAAAATTCTTTTGAAATACATTTTAATCTCAAAGAGACCATCTGAGCCCGTCTCCCTCATCGTCCCATTCAGAATGTATTCATGGACATTCTCCATGCAAGGAGACTTGTGGGATAAATCCCTTGCATACTAGAAGCCTTCCTTGCACAAGTCTTGCTTGGTCTTCTTGGAAATACTTCCTTTCTATCCCCACATTTTAGTGCCAATATGGTGCTTTTTCTCAAACAGTAAAAAGTCAGTTTGTTTTGCATTCTGTGTAGACTTGACACCTTACAATCCAACGATGGTACCGATAGACTTTTCTCTCAGTTTCATATAAAAAATTTAGTCAATCAAATATTTATAAATAATGTGTAATAGTATGCAACTGCTAGCAAAAATTGTCCAAGGGAACTTATCATGATAGAAGAAATCCAAACTTCAATTTTGAAAAGGTGTGATATTGTGGCCCGAATTTGGTGCCTGGTCACGTCGCGACCCACTTTTGACCTGACGACCCTTTTTTGCTTGTGGGTCATAGACCCTAATTAGTACTCTCTTGTTACCTAATATATAAGGGCGTTTAGGGTTTGGAGTGGGTGAGAGAGACACTGAAAATCGTACAGATAGAAGTGAGGGGTTGAAACTTGTAATATCCAATTTTACATATAGTGAAAACTTTCGCTGGATCTCCACCGTGGATGTAGGCTTTGTCGAACCACGTATAAATCTTTGTGTTCTTTGTGCGGTGTGTTTACTTTTCTGTCATGTTTTGTGATTGTTGCTTGTGTTCGCTGCATTTGTCGTAACAAAAAGTTTTCAAGATATTGTCAGCTTTCTCGTTTCAAGTGTTTCTGTATTCCCTCCTGTTACATGTATTCCACTTGGGCATTCTTTTATTTAAACTTTGTTATTGAGGGAAGTCTTCTATGTCAGGTAGTCTGCCACTCAGCTTTCTTCCCTTGTGAGTAATTTTTCCATATTGTTAAAGTGACTGTTATCTGTTCTTGGCACCTCATCATCTAATGTTCCTAGTACTATTTTTTGCTAAACCTGTGCAAGTCAGTTTACTTAAGCATGGGCTAGCTAGTACGTCTAACACATAAGCTTTCCGTGTCCCATAAATGATTAACTAGAACACTCTCAACAACTAATTGCCACACATTTTCGACTTTGCTGTTCATTGTGTTCAACTTTATCATCATTTTCTACTTTTAATTTCACCATTATATTTACATCTTCTAATGATAATTTTCCCCCACACTTTTTTTTTTTTGATAAGTAAGATTTTATTAAAAACGCTCAAAAGGGGAGCGGAACCTAAAGAAACAAAAGGGCTAAAGGGCGCCTTAGACCTTCAGAGAGGCCAAATAAAAAATAAAAAATAAAGAATAACCTTGCTATTGAGCCATGATGGTAGCCCAGCAGTGGCAGAACATTCACAACAAGTGTGACATAGTGAATCTTAGAGTCGTGTAAAAAATCGTGATAATTACAATTAGTAATAAGAAAATTAATTCACTAGGAAAAGGAGAAACTAACATGGATATATACATCTCTGCCAGATTCCCAGCTTACTTGTGCCAGAAAATGCAAAAGGCTTTCGAGCTAAAACATGAAGGGCTGTCTCGCCATTTGAGTCCCGCTGAATGGCTAATCCTTGTCGGGGTTGGAGTAAGTCCAAAGCTACATCTAAGAATAGCATGAGAGAGTTGATTAGCTTGTTCACAGTAGTTTCTTCAATATTGAAGCACATAAAAGTAGAATGTTACGTTACCATACAAATCAGAACTGATAGTAGCAATTAGTAGTCTGATACAGTCTTCCATTGTTAGATCTTTATCATCAGTGACCGAGAAGAGAAACCGCACCATGTCCCTGTTACCTAACAAAGCAGCCACGTGGAGTGCTGTCACTCCCTTACTACCCCTCACTGTTGGCAAGTACTTGTTCCTTTGCACCATTACCTCTGCGATCCTTGTAATTCCTGATGCGGCAGCAAAACAAAGTGCCGTATTGTTGTACTTGTTTTGCAATGCTAAATCTTTAGCATCCATCAATTTGACCAACTCCTCCACAAACTTGGTCTGTTTGGCCCCAGCTGCAATGTGAAGGGCTGTTTCCCGACCTTTTGTGATCCTAGCAGTTAGTGCATGTGGATGCAATCTGATAAATTCTTTAGCCTTGTCCCAATCACCTGTGAGTGCAGCTTGGTATAGTGGCACATACATGGTACGATATTTGGTTGGTTTTGCCGCTGCCAGATATTATACAAGCACAACAATAAAATCACAGCTTATGCTAGTGCTATTTACAAACATAAGTAAATTTCTACCTGATATAACTAAGAAACTGCATCTATGTATTGAAAAAGCATTAGTGATGTTGAAAATGTAGTGTTTGCAGGTACGTGACGTTGTAGGAGCTACAATTTTGATGTGTTCTAATTTTTCAAAACTCAGCTGTAGTTGTGGTACATGACATTGTAGCAGTTACAATTTTGATGTGTTATATTTTTTGAAGTATTTAAATTTCAGTATAAGATTAAATTCAATTTATTAGTTGCCACTTGGTTCCCCAGCCAGTTGGCCGCAATGTTTAAATTCTATAATTGGAGAGGTCTTGGGATCGAACAGTGGTGGTATCTTGCACACGCACAGGAATAAAATCAATTTATTAGTTGGTATATACAATAATAGGCAATTTTGACTTATTATGGGAGACTTCTTTTTCTTTTTTATAATTTTATTTGTTTGTTGAGTAAAGAGAGTTCAATTGATCATAATTGCACATTAAGCTTGTATGGAAATAATAATGGTTTTTTTTCCCCCCCAAAGGTTAAAACATATTTCGACACAAGGAAAAAGTGATCATGAATGATTTGGCTTTGCAGGGTGAACAAACTAATGGAAAAGATTGTGCGAAGAATAGACTTGCCAACTTGTAGAAATGAACTGGGTAATGTTGGCACTGCCACTGAACCATTTGCGCTGTTAGTGAGCTGAACTGAAACATTTTGTCGCGGGGGCAACGGTGGAGGCACATCAACGCGAATCTCTCTGATTAAATTGCTGCTAGCTAAACGATCAAAACCAGCTTGTTCTTCAAATAAGCTTGTTGGGGGGGTGGATGTTGCCACGGAGCCTGGGGTGGATGTTGCCGCGGAGCCTGGGGTGGACCTTCTTCTTGGGAAGCATGACTGGATTGAATGGCTTCGTCCCAACTCCCTCGTGCTCTCCATGTCCTACTCTCAATTTGCAATAGATGCTTCAAAAGATGAAGTGAAATAGTAACTACTGATGAAGATTTTAGAGCAGGATAGGGATTTATATGTGCAAAAGAAGTCAAGCCAATTGAGGGCAGCAAAAAAGCTTCCTTGGGTTTGGGATGTGTCACTTGTCACTACTGCTTGTATGTACAGAACCCAAAAAGTCAAGAATTCTGTCATTATATGTGTGTGGCTTTAAAGGCAATGTCTTTCTTGGTGGCCTCCTAAGCTGGTGTCTACAAGTAAGTTTCTTGCCTCTTTCTATTTTGACCTTTTTGTCACGGACTTGAACCTTTTCAAGCTCCCGTGCGGCCTTAGACACTTTCAAGCCCCCTTGAAGCGCTAAGTCAGCCTACCCGAGTGTGCTAGCTTAGTGAAGACTAAGGCTAGACAAGTGTTTTGCTTACTTGGGTGTGTAGGAAGAGGTTAGGCAAGTGAGCAAGAGAGTTTGGGAATGTATAGAACTTGTATTACTTGAGAGGAAAGATTACAACTTGGTTGCTTGGTGAGGAGCAAATGAACTCCCACCTCCTATTTATAGGCCTTTGGCCTTACAAGAACATTCTAGATGTGTACAAATGTGTGGCCTAGATTTAGTGTCTAGAATCCTCCAGAAATATCTACACAACTCTAGAACTATCTACTATGTACAAGACAAGTCTAGAGAATTCTAGAGAATTCTATACAACTCTAGACAAGTCTAGAAAAGGCTAGACAACTCCACACTAATCTAGAGAATTCCGGAAAGTTCCATACTTGTGTAGAGAAGTCTAGAAAGCTCCAATCCATGCAGGCTCCATGTCATCGTCTGCTGGGCGTCTGCGTGGCGCCTGCGTGGCATAACCTCTTGGTAGCGGGGTGTGACATTCTCCCCCACCTAAGCTCGCGATGCCCTCGTCGCGTCTTCTTGCTTGAACCGCTGGATATGCTCTGCGAACTGCCATAGTGTATCCTCATGCTCCCAGCTCGCCTCACTATCTGGCAGGTTCTTCCACTTCACTAAATACTCTGTATATTTGGGCACACCTCTCCTGCTCATCACACGATCTGCAAGGATGCAATCAACTTCCTTGTCAAAGGATGTGACAACGGCCGTGGGTGCCCTATGCGATATGCCCCGAGTAAGGTCTTCCGTGTCTTTATGATAAGGCTTGAGCATGCTGACATGGAAGACTGGATGTATCTTCAACTTGGGTGGAAGCTCCACCATGTAGGAGACCTTGCCCACCCGCTTGACGATGGGGAACGGGCCCTCGTACCTCCTTACTAGCCCCTTATGCACGCTCCGGAAGGACTTGAATTGTTGGGGTAGTAGCTTAACCATCACTTGGTCTCCCACTATGTACTCCACCCGCCTTCGCTTGGTGTCGGCCCACTTCTTCATCTTCTTTGCCGCCTTGTCAAGGTACGCCCTAGCCAAGTCGGACTGCTCATGCCACCTCTTGGCAAATTTGTAGGCCGCCGGACTCTTACCATCGCAAGTTGAAGCAATGGCGTTGGATGTCATAGGCTGCCGTCCGGTGACAACCTCAAATGGACTGTGATTGGTAGCCTCACTCCGCTGCAAGTTGTAAGAAAACTGTGCCACCCCAAGGAGTTTGGCCCAATCTCACTGATTAGCACTCACATAGTGCCTCAAATAAAGCTCCAGGAGAGCGTTGATGCGCTCTGTTTGCCCATCTGATTGGGGGTGGAAACTCGTAGAGAAGTTGAGATCCGTCCCCATCTTCTTGAAGAGTCCCGTCCAAAATCTACCCGTGAAACGCGGGTCTCTATCACTGACAATATTCTGCGGAACTCCCCAAAGCTTGACCACATGGTCAACAAATAACTCTGCTGCCCTCTCTGCTGTGCAGTCTGCTGGTGCGGGTATGAAGGTGGCATACTTGCTGAATCGATCTACCACCACTATAATGCTCCCGCAACCCTCTGACTTGGGTAAGCAAGTGATGAAATCCATAGAGACGCTCTCCCATGGTCTCTCTGGAATAGGCAGTGGCTCTAGTAGGCCTGCAGGATGCTGTTGCTCAATCTTATCTTGTTGGCACACAAGACAAGTCCTCACATATGTCTCCACGTCATCTCGCATCCGAGGCCAATAGTAAGAATCTTCAAGGAGTGCTAGTGTGCGCCGCATACCTGGGTGACCAGCCCATTTGGTGTCGTGGCACTCCCGTATTAGCTCCTTCCGCAAGTTGCCCCACCTGGGCACAAAGAGTCGGTCCCCCGTAGTGAGAAGTAAATCATCCCTTAGCCAAAAGCGCCGAGTCTTCCCTTCCTTAGCTAGCTGAATAAGGCTTTTGGCTAGAGGGTCATGCCGCAACCCTTCTTTGACCCGCTCCACAAGATAGTGTTGGGGCCGACTAATAGCTGCGAGCTCGGCCTTGCGACTAAGTGCGTCCGCCACAACATTGGCCTTGCCCGGCTTATATTCGAAATGGTAAGTGAACTCCGCTAGGAAGTCCTGCCAACGAGCTTGCTTGGGGTTAAGCTTCTTCTGTGTCTGGAAGTAGCTGGTGGCAACATTATCCGTCTTGATCACAAATTGTGCCCCGAGCAAGTAGTGCCTCCAAGTACGTAGGCAATGGATGACCGCCGTCATTTCTTTCTCTTGCACAGTATAGCGCTGCTCAGTGTCATTAAGCTTACGGCTCTCATAAGCTATGGGGTGTTCTTCCTGCATCAACACACCCCCAATAGCGAAGTCTGATGCATCCGTGTGCACCTCATATGGCTTGGAGTGGTCGGCCAAGCTAAGTACCGGCTCCTCCGTAACTGCCCTCTTCAAGTCATCAAATGCCCCCTGGCACGACTCTGTCCAACTCCAAGCACGCGCCTTCTTGAGAAGGTCTGTCAATGGGGCTGCTCTCGCCGAGTAACCCTTGATAAAGCGGCGGTAGTAGTTGACAAGCCCAAGGAATGAGCATAGCTCTGTCACCTTAGTGGGCGGCTCCCACTCTTGAATGGCCCTCACCTTTGCCTCATCCATCATTAGCTTGCCATCCCGTATCTTATGCCCTAGGAACAACACCTCCTCTTGGGCAAATGAGCATTTCTCCGTCTTCACATATAGGTCGTTCTCCCGTAGGACTTGGAAGACCGCCCTCAAGTGCTGCACGTTCTCCTCTAGAGTGGTGCTATACACAACAATATCATCCAAGTACGCCACCACAAAGCGATCCAAGTAGGGATGGAAGAACTTGTTCATCAAAGTACAAAAAGTAGCAGGTGCATTGGTGAGGCCAAACGGCATAACAAGAAACTCATAGGAGCCATACCTCGTTACACACGTAGTCTTAGGCTCATCCCCGTCCGCTATCCGCACCTGGTAGTACCCCGAGCGCAAGTCAAGCTTAGTGAAGTAGCGTGCTCCACCAAGCTGATCAAAGAGATCGGCAATGAGAGGAATGGGGTACTTGTTTTTGATAGTCACCTTGTTGAGCGCCCGGTAGTCGATGCACATGCGCAAGGACCCGTCATTCTTCCTCTGGAACAACACCGGTGCGCCATATGGGGCCTTCGATGGTCGAATATAGCCCGCATCTAACAGTTCCTTAAGTTGCCTCCGCAACTCCTCCAACTCTGGGGGTGCCATCCGGTAGGGCACCAAAGCAGGGGGTTTAGAACCCAGTTCCAGCTCAATCTTATGATCCACCTCCCTCCTAGGTGGAAGCTTCTTGGGCAGCTCTTTAGGCATCACGTCCGTGTACTCGTCTAGCACGGCTCGTATCTCCTTAGGCACCTCTTCTTGTGGGGAAGGGACTAGCTCATCTTCGGGTGTCTCCAGTAACGTAGCAAGGTAGCTAGTCTCTCCCTTCTTGAAGCCCTTCTTGAACTGCATAGCTGACAAAGCTTGGGCTTCCAACTTGGCGCCTCGCTCCACTAGCACCATGCATGCTGTGTTGCCTTCCATAATACACATAGTGTTAGCAAAAGGGATGGGGAAGGCTCTCACCTTGTCTAAGAACTCCAACCCAAGGACTAGTTTGAAGTCGTCCATGGGTACCACCGATAGATCTATGTGGCCACCCCACTCGCCAATGCATGCTTGGACGCCGTGTGCCATGCCATGTATGGCCTTTGCCGCCGAGTTAACTGCCTTCATGGAGCCCCCTTCTTTGCTATACTTGAGGC